TGTGGATATGGTCGATGGTGCTGAATCCTTTGCGGAACCCGGCTTGCTCGCATGGTTGTCCTTCATCTAGTGTTCTGCCAATCCTATTTAGGATGACTCGAGTGAACAACTTGTAGATGACAGACAATAGGCAGATTGGCGATAGTTGCCAATGTCATGGATGTCTCCCTTCTTGAACAGTAGTACGGTCCTGCTGGTTTTCCATTGGGAGGGAACCTTGCATTCAGACATGTAGCGTGTGAAGAGCCGAGCCAGTGTATTGATGGGTACTGACGGCAGGTTCTTCAGGTGTTCAGGTCTGACCTTGTCTGGGCCGGGTGCTGTTCGTTTCTTTACCGATGAAATGGCGTGTTGGATTTCAGAAGGGAGAATGTTGGGAACGACATATCCATCCTGTGGAATTTGGTATGTTGGCAAGTGGACATGGCTATCGAAGAGATTTGAGTAGAAGTCATGGATAATCTTCTCCATTGCCGTTCTGGAGGATGTGATGGATCCATCAGGACGTCGGCGGGCAGTCATCTTGGTCTTATAGTTGGCGAAGGACAGGCGGGCGTTACGAATACTTTTCCTGGCTTCTGCGGCATCTACCAGTACTTCTGCTCTTCTCTCTTTGAGGTCTTCCTTGATCGCATCTCTGCACTGCTTTGCGAGAGCTCGGACGTTAGCTTGCGGTTGCCTGAGGCATGCACCAAACCACGCTGGCGAATTAGCTCAAGAGTTTTCGAAGACAGGAGTTTTTTTGTGACTATCTCTCTCTTGGTGTTCCTCGCACATTCATGGAGGTGCTGAACCAGTCGATTGTATTCCTCATCAATGTTGTCAACAATGGCATCTTCTCATGTTGCCGCAATAGTGCCAAAGAGCTCCCAGTTGGTGGTCGTTCTGGGAGTTCTCTTTTTAAACTTTGCAGCCCTTTCTCCCCGCTCTGTGAAGTAGAATTTTGCATGAAGGAGATGGTGGTCTGATCCCGTTCGCAATTTTGGGACAACAGCGACAACAGCGACATTGGTCAGGCAAAACCGTCGATTGAATAGATTCATTAGTCATTAACAAATGACCCTCCATGTTTTGTTGACCTCAGTAGGGGTTAGAATCAATTAAAAAATTGCAAAAGAAAAAGCTGTCTGATGGATCAATCTTCAGGGAAAATACATTATTGCTTAATATGCAACAATAATGAAATACTATGAGCATACGATTGCTCATAAAATGACACAGACATATTTTGCACAATGTTTACTGGCATCTTAATAATTCCTTTCCTCTTTACCCTGCACATGAAACAAGATACTGTATTAACTGTCTACTATTACTCACCATCATAAATCATTATTTACCAGATGGAAGTGAATATCTCTTTTGGGTAGGCTTCATTTTCTTGGAGGCAAGTAGAAATCCATCTAGATGTACTTAGGAATTTATCTGAAACCTTTATACTTACTATTACTGACAGTGCAATGTCTCTTGTTAACCTACATAAATATTTAGACTCACTAGCTGAAATAGTCTTGGCTAACAGATGACCTCATACTTGATCTTAGAGAACAAGGAGAGACTTGTTTAACTACTAACTCCTCACGCTGTCCCAATATAAACAGTTCCATATACACAGTTGCTCGTAGTTGGAAACCAATGTCAATAAGGTTAATTAATAAGACAGATGGTTGCAATGAATCCTGGATCAACAATACCACTCTTGACAGATGGAGAGAGCTGGTTCTCAAACTAACATCCTGAATACCCGCTGGGGCTAATCCAAACTAGAAAATATTTGAAATTGAGTTTCTCCCTTTTGATAGTGGGGATCATAATATATCAAATTTTCTGACTGGATCTAGCCTCATATTTGCTGGAAATAAAGCATGAAACACCATTAAATATCTTAGAAAATAGCTTCCCCTTCTGCAGGATTCCCCACAGAAAGTTACAAGTTCTTTCTCTCACCATGTAAACTTCTTCTACTCCAAATTCCCATGCTGACCCTCTCCAGCAAGAAACAGCCTGACTGAATTTCACATCCCAATTTCCATAGAAATGGAAGGAGATATTGACAGTTGGGAGCTGTAATTGAGCAAGCATTAGAGACTTTGTCCTCATACACACAAATGAAATGCAAAATTTTTGTTTGCATTTTTGGCTGTGCCTTGCAGTGCCCAGGGCTTACTCCTGGCTCTGCACTCAGGAATCTCTCCTGGCTGTACTTGGAGAACCATATGGGATGTCATGGATTGAACCTGGGTTGGCCATGTTTACCTGAGTGGGAAAGTGGCCTGATCACTGAGTGGACATGGTGAGAGCCCAAACATTTGTGAACATATACAGCACTATTTACATGAGGTGGCCGCCCACCTACAAGATGGTCAGACTTCTTCGTCAAGACCTTGAATGAGTTTTGGGGCTCATTTGAGGCTCTTCGTGTTCCTAGAAAGAGCAGACGCCACTGGGCTACACTAGCACGCAATAGGGAAGTATGGAGACGTTACTGGTGCCTGCTCGAGCAAATCGAATGGATGTAAAGTGAACAAGTGAAGAGAAACCAATTTTTGCCTTTTGATACAACTTGGGTGGAGCTGGAACAGGTCTTGTTAAGCAAAATAGTCAGAGGTAGAAGACAAACACCAGGTCATCTTATTCATATGCAACAGCTATAGAAACAAATGGAAGTGATAGACAGTACATAAAGACAATAACCCTTTGAACTTTTAATTTAGAATGGGATGGTATCCCAGGACCCCAGAGAAGAGGAAGAGAAGGACTAAAAGTGACATTGTCTATGTGGAAAGTCCGGGGAATTCTGGTGGTGCCAGAGAGGAGATAATTTTGCGCATGACAAATGTAATTTAAATACCATGGCGCCTCAACTAAAAATAAAACACAAATTATTGTCTTTCAAAATGTCATCTGCTTTGCATTGTCACCATCTGTTAAAACATTTTTTCCAGAGGTTAAAAGAATCCACCAATATCCCCTGCACCCCATTCCCCAAACCCACTGATCTGAGACCAATTTCTGTAGTTCCTGTATTGATGATATATACTAAATACGAATGCTATGCCTACTAGACAAATATCATTGTAAGGAGATCTTCCAAGCCCTGAGATCCCATTGTCCAAAGAAAACACAAGAAAATCTCATAAAAGTAGGCTGAACCCCATAGAGTAAGTCCCTGTCCACCTTATGAGACCAGGGCAATCTGTAAGCCAGGGATCCTTCAGCTGAACACCTCCTCCACTATTTTTATGGAAATGGATAAAGTCTCTGACCCAATTTCCTGGTCCAGTTCCAGCCACACCTCCCTAACCCTATCTCTACCTCCACCCAAACCCTCCTCTCAGTTTCCCTTTATGGGCAGTGAAGTGTTTCTGAGAGCAACTGGAAAGTGAAAGATGTGCAATCCTAGTTAGAGGGTTTCCGTTTTCTGTTCTGAGCAGAGCAAAAGCAGGGCACAGTTGCAAAATGCTGTGGTGTCTGCAGGCTGCCTGGAAGGTGTTGGCAGGGGAATACCTGAGGGTCCTGCAGTGCTGAGACCTGCTGTCTGAATTCCTCTTGTTCATCTAGTAATTGTGGAAGAGGAGCAAGGCTCAACCTCCAACAGCATGTTAGTGATATCTTATAGAAGGTTTTAATGGCCTCTGCCAAAATAGAACAATCTTCACACTCTTTCCTCTATGGATAGCATTTTCAGTGGTTATTCATAACAGACAATACAAAATATATTATCTCGGTTCTACTTTGGGACAGAGATTGGGGTTAGATATGGGAACATCCAAAATATGGTGTTGGGAAGGTGTAATGGTGGTGGGATTGGTGTATGGATATTAAATGAAATCAAATATCGTGAACTACCTTATAAAATAAAAAAGTTTTTTTAAAAAAACAAAAAAAAATAATGATGATAACACACCTACCTTTTAATTAGATAATGATGCCAGAGTCCATCATCCATGGGTCAGGCAGAAAAGTCTGTCTGAGCTCTCCTGTAGCATCCCAGAATTCAGCTGCACACACTCCTGCAGAAACCCAGGTAACTGCTAACCTTTTTATTTGAGTTTGCAGATTATTTGTGGTAGGGGTCTGAACAAAAACCTGTTCTGGGTGGGTAAAAAAGCTCTGGGTGCTGAAAATATCAGCTCAGGAGCCAATTTGATATAAACAGACATTAGTCCTAAGTAGAGTTGATGGTATGTAGACTGCTGCCTAATGCTCTGAAAAGAAGATCTGTGAATAGCCTCAGGAGACAGAAGGAGATTAAGTTTGCTGGAGAAGACTGACCTAGAGCTGAGAGTGACTTGGAGGTTGGATCACTCACTCACTAGCCCAGAATCAGCAGTTCTCATGATGACCCACCCAGTCTGATATGGCAGCTCTCTGCTGCCTGGGTACTGGCTTCCCTGCTCATGTCTCAAGAAGTCAATAAGGCCAATGCAGGTTAAGCTGCAACAAGGCCCAGGAATACCTCCCTTTCCCCTGTATCCCATGGAAACAAAAACTTACCCAGGTTCAATCTGAAAGAAAGTGTCATTGAGACTGCATAGGCGGAGTGTAGGAGAAGAAAGGGCAACTTTTTCTTTTTGGGTCATACCCAGCGATGCACAGGGGTTGCTCCTGGTTCTGCATTCAGGAATTACCCCTGGCAGTGCTCAAGGAACCATATGGGACACTGGGAATCAAACCCAGATTACCCACTGTGCTATCACTCCAGCAACAAAAGGGTACTTTTAAAAATATATCCCAGCGCAGATCCTAATGGCTAGATGCAAACTAGTAAAACAGGATGGGGCCATTCGTAGGTGGGGCCACTACAGGGTAGGTTTCTTAAGCTGTCAGTAAGCCTCTGAGATAAGAGAGGAACAGTGAAGTGGAGAGGCAGCCCTTCAGGCTGCGAGAAAGAAGCAGGCTTCCTTAACTGTGATGTTCCACTTTCTAGGAGAAATTGGGGATCACGGTTAAGAGAAGCCAGCTTAAAGAGAGAGAAAGAGAGAGAGAGAGAGAGAGAGAGAGAGAGAGAGAGAGAGAGAGAGAGAGAGAGAGAGAAGCCAGCTGGACATTTCCTCTGCCTTAAGAACTGCCCAGTGGAACTTGACAACTTCTGAAAGGTACGTGGATGCCTGTTTTTTTCTGATAGGGCTTTAGAAATAGGCTGTTTCTGTTTTAATTTTCTTGAAACCCAAGAAACAGGTAAAAAGAGACCCTGAGGCTGGCACACCTACTGCTCTTGTGCTGTGTGTATTATATCCCAGAGTCCCCAAATGCTGCAGGAGTGGTGACGGCAGGTCTCTGTGCTGGTCCATGGTTCCCAGGTTCTTCAGTATTTTCTTTTTTCTTTTTGGGTCACACCAACCGATGCTCAGGGGTTACTCCTGGCTCTGCACTCTGGAATTATGCCTGGCAGTGCTTGGGGGACAATATGGCATGTTGGGGATCGAACCCAGGATGGTGGCATGCAAGGCAAATGTCCTAACCACTGTACTATCATTCCAGCCCTCTTCAATATTTTCAAGAATAAAAATATTGAGTAATAGAATGCTCAGACTCAGAATTAGAAAGCAGGAACATTTATTGGAAAGTAGAAGATAGAGGGAAAGTAATCCCCCATTGGGGGGAGGGGGAGGATCTTAGTATAGGACTAAGTTAACTGTGGCTCTTTCATGTAGGGAGTTGTCTGTGTTACAGAGATTGCAGGAAAGTTAAAGATAAGGGTTTTTGTGAAGGCCCTTTTTAATGAGAATTGGGCTCTCTGCATTTCTTATCAATGGACAAGAATGCAGAGAGGATGCAAGGATCCAGAAGTTCTTTACCTGTCCTTTGCCTTGGGTTTTTGCCCATCATCTGAGCCTCCAGGTGAGCCCAAGCTCTGGGCATAATTTTACGTTTTACAATTGTTAACTCCCTGTTTATCAGAAAAAGGCCAGGAATTTGCAGGAAGTCAAAAATGTAGGATGGGGCAGTCAAAATGGGACTGCTCACAGAAACTGACCAGGGTAAACTGAGGCTTCCTCTCTCATTAGAAAGGGATGACTTCCTCTGGGTAGTTTTCATTCTTTTAGGTTGTGTCGCAGTTTCTCCTGAAGCCCATAATGTCACCTTCAGCTTTAGCTACCTAGTGACATGGAATATTGGAGAAGGCCTGTACTGGGCATTTTCCAGGAGGCTGATCTCAGGAGTGTCTGTTTGTCACTGAGCTGCAACTTCACAACTCTTAGAATTCCCTTGGCTTCTCCCTTTTTAGCTATATACAAAACTCGAGGGACAGGGAATAGGGCCCTTGTATGTTCCCCACCTGCTCACCAAGGATCACTGCCCCCTGCACTGCAAAATGCCCGAGATCTTTGAAAGGACTTTTAAACACATTTTTAAATGTGTGTGTGTGTGTGTGTGTGTGTGTGTTATCTTTAGTTGATTCAGACTGGAAAGTAATTATTGTCTCTTTTGTACTCTGACAGGGGAAAGTAAACTGTGAAGTTGGTCTTTTTAAGGTAAAAGCACTTTACATTTTAAATCTATAAAATGTTCATCAGTTTTATTTTTTTTCAACCTGCCTACTTAATCTGCCTACTTCCCTCTCTCTTCTGGGTCTAATATATTCAGGAAAGGCTGGGAACATATTAATGATCTAACTTTATTCTAATTTCCAGGGAGTGTTTAAATGGAAATCCAGCTTAAAGGAAAATACTCTTTTAGGTCCAAAATTACAGTACAGTGGTTTGGGAATTTACCTTGCAGGTGGCTGACTCTGGTTCAATCCCTGGCATCCCATATGGTCTCCTGAGCACTACCCTAATCCTTGAATGAAGAGCCAGGAGTAACCCCTGAGTATTGCCAGTGTGACCCATAAACCAAAACTAAAAGAGAGAGAGAGAGAGAGAGAAAGAGAAAGAGAGGGAGAGGAAGAATGAGGAAGAGATAGAGAAAAGTTGGAAGGAAAGAGACAGAGAGAGGGAGGGAGATGAAAAGGAGAGAGGAAATGAGAGAGGGAGAGAGAGAGGGAGAGAGGAAAAAGAGAGAGAGAGGGAGGTAGGGATAAAGGGAGGGAGGGAGGGAGAGATGGAGGGAGAGGAGAGAGAGGGAGAGAGAGGGAAGGAGAGAGAGGGAGAGAATGAGAATGAGAATAGACGATTTCATTTTTCTAAAAATGCCTTGCCTTGCATGAGGCTGAGCTGCTCTACCCGTGTTCTATTTCTCTGCCCCTCTCAGAGAACCTGGCAAGCTACCCATGATGTATTCGATATGCCAAGAACAGTAACAACAAGTCTCACAATGGAGACATTACTGGGCCAGCTCAGGCAAATCAATGAACAATGGGAGGACACTGCAGTGCTACAGTTCTTGGGCAGTAGAAAGTGAAATTTAACTTTACTTCAGGGACTTAATTTGACCTCCAGACTCAGCCGATGAACAGGCTGCTGCACTCTTGCCAGTTTTTCTCCCTGTTTATAAAGAATTTGCTGCAACCCTCAGGGGGTTACCCTGTTCTTCCCAGATTTAGTCATTTTCCTTCAAGATAGTTGGAATTTCAGTCTCCAGATCTCATTTTAGCAAGTCTCTTCATTTTCTTTAAAACAGATGCCTGTACAGGGGTTACAGCCTAGTTAGATAAAGAACCTGACATTCAACCTCTTCATTCAAGTTCCTGCCCCGAAGAATACAGTTGCTGTCAACAAAGAGGAGACAATGGTGGTGGAGGATTCACCTAAAGAAATACAGAAACATAGTGTCTTCCTGGAATATCATAACTGCTTGCCTTTCAGTGGAAAGGAACAATTTGGTAATATAAAGTTATTGCAAAGAGCAAAAGAGTGGGGTGGGGATGGGGTCCCAGGGTGCTTTCCTGACTCAAGAAAACTGCCTTTTAGAAGTGTTACCATTACAGAGGCAGAGCTTTTGAGAGCATGGGATAGAAACAGGACAGGTGTGCATTTATTTATCAATATTTGAGGTCTTACCTATGTGTCCTAAAGTAATTCTGTGGCAGGGGAAATAAACAGTAAATCCCATTGCAGTCTGACAAGGGAGGCTAGCCCTTTGCCTTTATATTGTAAATCCCCCTTTCCCAGACAGCAGGCAACTTGCATACTGGAAAGTCACAGTTAACCAGCAGTTCTTTTTCATCCTAGAGGGACAGCAAATTTCAATACCGTATATTTCATAATCACAATCATGATTACGATCATCATGTTGTTCATCGATTGCCTTGAGCAGGCACCAGTAACGTCTCCTTCTTCCTATCCCTGAGATTTTAAAAGTCATATTCAATGCTCTTTCAGGGTTAGGAGAATGAAACCCATCATTGTTACTGGTATTTGGCATATTGAGTACGACATGGGAAGTTTGCCAGACTCTGCTGTGCGGGCAGGTACTTTCGGTAGCCTGCCAGGTTCTCCAAAGTAAGAACGAGATAGTAAGATGTCGCGTGGCTGAAAATGCAACCTGGGTTTTATAGTCTCTGAATCTTGGCCGTTGATGGGACCAAACTGGTGCCAGCGGCAACTGGTGGGTGTGACGCCTACCTACTGGAAGATGGTGGATCTCGGTGGAGAAGGCCCAATACCCATCCGAGCAGGCTTGGAGATCTCAGCCCCGGGACCCACATGCCTGGGTTCCTCTGCCAGTTCCTTCATGCATGAGGCTTGTCCAGACATCTGGAGAGTGTCTCAGCATGGCTGTGGCTGATTCTCAAGATCTTTGGCTGCTGGGGTGTGGGGGAGAGGGAAACTCAACACCCCTCCCTCCAAGAGGCCCTGGTGAGGACAGCCAGGCACGGGGGCATATATTTTATATGTGAACTAATAAATTTGCTTGTCAAAACTGGTTCTTTGGGGGCCTAAATATTTTCTAAGTTATTAATAGAGAGTGGAAGGCAGAGGGTTGGTATTTTGAAATTTAAGAATGTTAGACTGAACCTAAGCATTAACAAATAATTTAGCATTTAAAACTTTTTATGGTATCACCGACCAAATTGAGAACCTTACACATATAAGGCAAACACTCTAATTTTGAGCTATATTCCCCTTACCTTTTTAGGGTTAGAGTGAATTGACTCTAACCCTAAAAAAGATGTGGGGTGCGAGGGATACTGGGATCTGTGGTAGTGGAAAATGGGCACTAGTGGAGGGATGGGTATTTGATCATTGTATAATTGAAACCCAAGCACAAAATTTTGTAAGTCTAAAAAAAAAATAATCAGGCAAAGGAAACCCACAAAAAAAAAAAGAAAAAAAGATGTAGAACAGAATGATGTGTGCTTGTTTTTAGTCTTAAAGGATGGGTAACTTTTACTGAAATTCTAACTGTTGAAAACCACCTTTCTTTCTTTCTTTCTTTCTTTCTTTCTTTCTTTCTTTCTTTCTTTTTCTCTCTACTCCCCCTGAACTTTACTTTTTCTTTGTGAAGATACACTATTGTATTCCCATAAAATAGGGTTTGTATTTAGTAACAAATTAATTAAAATGCTAATATTTGTCAACTAAGATAAGGCTTCACTAACTAAAGCTATTTGACCAATCAGGATGTCATACTTATTAAGCTAAACTGACTGGTAAGAATGTTTCACATGAGAAAAACAAATTTTGAACTGCTTTTGGGTTATGAAACTAACATTTATATTAGGAAAACATCTGGTTAGTTTCTTTGTTCATTTGAGAGATCGTGACTGATGCCATATTCCCAACTAGAAATTCAATGGTTATGGTGTCAGAGTGCAATATAGGTGGCATATGACTTTGAAGAGGATTGGGAGAGGATAGTTCAGGTGGGAGAAGAGAAAAAAGAGAGGGATGGAGCATGATGCTGGGGAGGACATTAGATTCAGGGAAATAAAGGTAAAAAGAAAGGGAGGTTTGGGGAGACTGCTAAGAGTGGCAAATAGATTTTTGGTGAATTGAAGGGAAATTTACTTCTTACCCATGTCCCAGTCAAAAATTATGGAATACACTGATTTTTTAGGACATATTTTTTTTTGTTTTCTGTTTTGTTTTGTCTTATTAGTGAAACACCATGAGGTACAGTTGTAGACTTACAAGTTGTTGTGCTTGGCTTTCATTTATACAGTGATCGAGTACCCATTCCACCACCAGTGCCCATTCTCCACCCCCACCAATCCCAGTATCCCTCCCACCTCCCACCTCGCATCCCACCCTGCCTCTGTGGCAGGGCACTCCCTTTTGTTCTATCTCTTCTTCTGGGTGCTGTGGTCTGCAGAAGAGACATTGGGTGGCAATCACATTCGAGGACATATTTTTTTGATGCAGGACCAGAAAGAATGAGAGATAAGATTTTTGTCTAAAGACATCTCCTAAAATGTCGCTGAGAATGGTTTTAGACCATCAGTCCTACGTTTCTTCTTCCCTTACTAGAACTTATGTCAAAACTCTGTGATCCTGGAAGATCCATGGGAAATGCAGTAGTTGAAGGAAAGTGAGCAGGAACTTTATTGATTTTAATTTCAGTACACTGACTTGGAATCATGAGGAGAAGAGCACATAAGGGGGTCCTATGTGTTTTATTCCAGCAGTAAGCTGCTTTTTACTGATTTTCAAAATGAGCTATTAAAGGCAGATATGCCCAGTATCAATGCTTTAATGTTTTTTGAAACATGGGGGTAACCCAGAGTTTAGGGATCTACAGGGAACAGAGAAGCTGATTGTTGACCTTGGTCAGGCCAAAGTCCAATGAGAAACTAGCAGTTGTGACCATGAGTTAATTCTTCCTTTTGCTTGGTGCTGGGTGGCATTTTCTTTTTCCCCACCAGGATTTAAACTGTTGCCAGAATTTAGTGCTAAAAAAATAAAGGTGTTACCCCAAGAATAGTAAAGATAAAGACAAGGATATTTAGTCCACAGCTTGGAGGCCTCACATGTTGGGGGAAAGGGCAGCTCAGATCGAGAAGGAAACATCAAGTAAAGGGTGTTTGGAAGACCCTCTCAGTTTGGGAGATGCATGCCGAATGTAGACTATAGATTGAACATGATGGCCACTCAATGCCTCTATTGCAAACTACAACACCCAAAAGGAAAGAGAACAAAAATGGATTCCCTGACACAGAGGCGGTGTGGGGTTTGGGGGGGGGGGGATGTGTTGGAGTGGTAGGAGGAATACTAGGATCATTGGTGGTGGAGAATGGGCACTGGTGGAGGGATGGGTACTCAACCATTATATGAATGAAATGTAAGCATGAAAGTTTGTAAGTATATAACTGTACCTCACGGTGATTTACTAATAAAATTATATATGTGTATATATATAAATAAACCTAAAATAAAAGAATAAAAGTGTTATGTTTCTATGCAGGTTTTTGAGTAAAGTTAAGCTTTATTTCTCCTGTATAAATACCAAACAGCACTGTTCTTGATATCAAAATATGATACCATGCTAAGATTAGCACATGATAAATTTGTATTTACTGCACCAAACTGCAAAGCTGCCTTTGCAAGGTGGCTGTACCATCTTATATTTTCAACATCAGTGATTGAGATTTCAATTCTCCACTTGGTTGTGTTATTTTGTTTTAATATAAACTCTCAATAGGCAGAGAGAGGTAACTCAGATTTTTATTAGCATTTCTTTAATTCAGGCTATCTTGAATACATTTTTATGTGCTAATTTGTCATCTACACATCTTCTTCAATTTTATATTAAGAGATGCAAATTCGATGATTCGAAACCCACTTTCAACTTATGTATTACTCTTATTTTGAGTTTTCAGGATTTAATATAGCTAGATATAGGTTCTCCCCACATCTTTACCAACAGTTTGATTCTTCTCCAGACCAGCAGCTCTAAACCATGTGAGGTGACACCTGCTTGTGTCATTTGATCAGAATCTTGCTGTTAATGAATGACAGGAGCATTTTCATGCACCTGTTGGCCATCTGCATGTCTTTGAGACTGTGGGGAGCTAATTCCCTGACCTGACACAGAGGAGGAATATGCCTCACTGCTGATCCTCACACCAGACCTTTCTACCTTTCTACCTTTTCTACCTTTCTACCTTTTGCTATTTCTTTCCATCTTCCTGACCTCCTTTGCCTATAGCTGTAGGATTTCTTATGGCTGGAGATTCTATTCTATTTCTTTTATTTCAGACCCTCTTTGACCCATGATAATAGCTATGGGTCATGACCTTTAGTGAAAGGGATTGGCAATAGGGAAATTGTGGTACAGCCGATTTAGGAAGTATATTTTTGTGATAAAATTGTTTTTCTCATAAAGCTTTCAGAAAAATGAGATTATGATATTTTACTTTAAAGGTACACATAACCAAGAAAAATATAGAACAACTCGAAGTTGTGAAACTCTTCACAGACATGCTTTCTGCCTCATCAGTACTTTGGCCATAGTTATATCTGTGGTTATACTTTCTGTTAATTTGACAGGTATTTACTTGCTTTACAAACTATAATTTTCTCCATATATTGTTATGATCATACATAAATATCCCTTCGAGTCCTATTTTATGCCAGAAACTGTGCAAAGTGTGTGGGGCATATTGGCAAATGGAACATAAAAATTCCTTCTTCCAATATTCCAGAAGGAAGTATAGCTGTCATTATAAATTAAAGTACAGGGTAGGGAAACAAGCTGCAATGCACATAGGAGTGACACATACTTTTCAGTAGGAATCTCTCCCTTTCAGCAAACTTTTGAAGGAGATGAAGGTAGCGTACTGATGCTTGGGGAAAACTACTCAGGCACAGAAAACAATAGAGCAAAATTCCCAAAGAAGGAATATCCCTAGTGCTTTGAATAAGAGCAGGAGATTGCTGGGTTAGGACAAATTGAGACCAAGTAAGAATCATGGGATGGATCCAGCAGGCCTTGGTAGTGACATCAAGACTTTGGGTTAAACTTTGATTAGAGCAGGGAAGGTCATGAAAGGAGAGTTGTAAAGAAGAATGTCATGGCTCCAAAACTTGTATTGGAAAATGATCATTTTTGCTACTGAGAAATAATTGTTAGAAGAGAAGGGGAGAATCAAGGAGAACTACTCGGGTGATCTTGTAGAAATCTAGGTGAGGGATGGTGATAACTTAGACCTGATGAGCGCAGTGCGGGGTGTGGTAGGGTAGTGGGTTCTGGATACTTTGAATGTTGGAGTCACAGTATTTTATAACAGATTGCCTATGAAGATTTGCAAAAAGAGACCCCTAGTAACTCTAAGTATTTTCTGCTGAACCATGGCAAGAAATGATAAGAGAAAGCTTTATCAAGGTTTATCAAGCTTACCCTTACAAGCTTATCCTGATAAGAGAAAGCTTTATCAAGGGGTTTTTATCTTTGGATCTGTTTCTTGCACAGAGAATGTTGAAAAGTACAATACCATATGCCTTGCAAAAAATTCTTTGTATGTGGAATTGGTCAGAAATAAATGACTTTTTGGCATTAATAAATAATTATTTCATCTATTCTGATTTTTTTATTTCTAATCAGGTCTTTTTCCAACCACTCATAATGTGACCCAGACATTTTTTTATTTCTTATTTTGGCTGGGGTGAGGAGCAAGGGAAGAGGAGATGCAAGCTGGGGATTCAAGTGAGGGTCTCATATAAACAAGGCATGTTCTGAGCCTATCTTAAAGAATTTGTTAAATCTAATAACAACTAACAATTTTTACTGAAGTTTAATTTGTTGCTAATTATATAGTTCCTAGAATTATAGTCCTTAGAATATTTGTAAATGTCAATTAAAAATGGTCTTGTGATACTGTTCTTTTTAAGTTTCTCTATTTAGAGTCTGAATTCTCTTGATAACTACCACTGTTCATTTGAGATAACACAAGCACAAAATGTCCATAATTTTATATTTCTACTTGAGTTTTATCACAGTGTAATATGTAAAATCCCCAATCCCAGGTCTACCAATGTGTTTTTATTATTCAGCATAATTTAAAGTATAAGTGATTCTGCCTAATAATTTAGCGGGGTGTATTTTGTTTGGGGGTGACACACCTGGTTATGGCGAGGGCTTACACCTGACTCTTTGCACATGGGTATCTCTTGGTTGAGCTTGTAGACTTTATGAGCTTCCAGAGATCAAGTCCTGGTTGTGTATGTAAAGTCAGAACCCTACCCACTATACTATTGCTCTAGGGCTCTTGCTTCATTCTTTTTTAAAGAAACAGTGATACTGATCTCGACACACATGTGCTCTCAGCTCTCTAATCTAAGCTCTCTAGGGTTAAAGATTGAGAAAAATGTAAAAGATTATTTTTCTTTAAATGTGGGGAAATTAAAATCATCATTGGTGCTAAATATATTTTGATACTATTATTTTTTCTTTCACTGGTCCTACAGAACAATGTTATTTTAGCATCTAAAGGAGAGCAAGAAATTCAGAAAGAATGTGAAATGAGAATAGTTGATTCTTCCTACACCTTACTCTGAAATATTATTTCAGAATATTTAAGAAGAGCCAACAATGTTTTATTCATTTTTTTAAAAGCACATATAAAATAAAAAGGTAAAAATGTAGAAAGCCCTGAATTGTATTTTTGTTAACAGAATAATATTTGGGTTGTTATTTTTGTCCAGAGAAAGCTTTTATAGCTCCTGAGTATGCACCATAGTAAAATTCAGGATATGAGAGATGTGAAGAGGAAGAGGAGCTAATATTAAGGGAAATATAAATCTATATGATATACTAGGAATATCATATACTTACTCTTTGCAGAAATTAGCATTATCTATAAGAAGTACCATGGACTTGGTGCTTTATAAATTTATTATCCCTAAATCATTAATATCAATGTACACCTTGTAAAATGAGATGCATAGATATCCCCGACCAGGGAATAGTTGACTATTGTACTTAAGATAAAACTTTCTGATGAGTTAGAAAATTACAATTACCAGTCTATAATGTTAGCAGTAACCTTCGGATGATAAGTGAGAAAATAGATTAAAATAATAAGAAAATATATTTATTATGTTTTCTGTGATTATCCAAATTTTAGTAAGAAAGGAAAGAGCAGTCTCGGCAGAAATACAAGTCTCAAAACTGCATGAGCATCCCGCATGCCCACCAATGTGGATTGGATTTGGAAACAAGTGCTTTTATTTTTCTGAAGAAACAGGGAACTGGACATTCAGCCAGACTTTCTGTGACTTACTGGAAGCTCATCTTGTGCAGATTGACACCTCAGATGAATTGGTAAATATTGTTCCGAGGCACCAGGCAGACAGTACAAGTGTGAAAACACATGCCTGTCATATTCAGGGCCCTGAGTTCAGCTGCCAGCACCACATGCCAAACACCCCAGGGTACGCATGTCACCCTGCTTGCCCTAGCACTGCTGGTGCACACTGGACTGAGCTTTGCAGGAAGTGGCCCCGTCCAATTTCTCCCAATGCTCCAGCATATAATACAAATTTTTAAAAGCATATCATCTGTTGAAAAGGGAGCTTCACGCAGAGGGTGGGGGGCTGCACCGGGCTAATGCTGAAAGATAACGATGTCCTCAATTCAATCTGGAGCACAGGGCACAGACAAGCTTCTGACATATGTTGAATTCTCTGCCTAGAACCCAGTGAGACATGTCAGATACGTTCTCTCATGTGATCCTCATAGTCGACCTAGAAGCTTAGATGAACTGTTCCCTGTGTAGAGAATTATTGTATTCACATAATTTTTCATTCAAATTATGGGAGTTACAGTGTTCACAATATACTAAAACAATAGGCACAAAGAGACTTTGCCACTAACATTGGGAGAAATGATTCTTTTAAACAAAGAGGTTTGGGAGCAGAGACAGAGAATAATGATTCAGGATAAGAAAAGGGTAGAGAATAACTTTTTCAATTATACCCTGCTGTGATCCCCAGTAGAAGACTGCAGGAAATACCGACTCAGGAGTGGTAAATGAGAAAGATGCATTTTTTCACTTTTTGTTCTTTATAATAGAAATTTCTGAAAAGATACAAAGGCCCTTACGACCACTGGATAGGCCTTAGCAGAGAATCGCCAAGTCACTCTTGGAAATGGACAAATAATACTGGAGGCAACACTGTGTATGTATTGAGACTTTTTTCCTTTTGCTATGATGACTTAGGATGTTTATAAAACATAACTTTAATATAGAAAACCTATAGTACTGTAAAAGAAATAGAACTTCTTTCTATGCCTTTCCATTTACTAGCCAGTTCCTTGAAAACTCAATTCATTGTCATTTTAGATTAAATATTTAATATGATAATGCCATGTGTATGTTCTTATACTTTAATATCATGATTCAGATGTTTTTCTGATGAAATATTGGTTTAGAAGGCATAAAAAGCTGCTGGTATGCAGTGGAAAAGAGGTGGGGGAAGTATTCTAAAATCCTAGAAAATCACTGATAATTTGATCCCTATAAAACCTTCAAAAATCCATTTTCCAGTTGCTGCATCCATTCACAAAAGTAAGGAATAAAGGTTCAAAGAGAACCTGTGGAAATCTCTCTGGGAGATTTACCAGTAGAAACTGTAGCTCCCTGTGTTGTCGACAGTTCAATCAGGTCATTGGAGATGTATAAAATATAAAGGCCTGATCACTTTCATCAAAATAAAGCTCTTTAGCACATTGCTAATAACTATTTTTATCTTATACATTTATGAAGTAGTTAGTGAGAAGAATGAGAATGATTTTCACTGATGCAACATGACAAAATACATAAAGTGACTAGATCAACAATATAACTAGATTTGTATTGGGTGAATCATATAGTTGGTGGTGTTCAAACATGTGTCTTGAAAATGTCAAGAAAAACTAAATATAAAAATGTTGTTTATTACTAATAAGTCACATAAGTGATTTTTTTTTTACTTCGATAGCACAGTGGGTAAGGCGTTTGCCATGCACGTGGCTGACCTGGTCAGCCCTGTTTCGATTCCTCCGCCCCTCTTGGAGAGCCCAGCAAGCTACCGAGAGTATCTCGCCCGCACGGCAAAGCCTGGCAAGCTACCCGTGAAGTATTCGATCTGCCAAACACAGTAACAACAAGTCTCACAATGGAGACGTTACTGGGCCTGCATGAGCAAATCAATGAACAACTGGAGGACAGTGCTACAGAGCTTCTTCTATTGAAAAAAGTTGACTAGAGGTATTACAGATGACATGGAGGAATGAATGCAAGATGTTTAGTGTACAAATAATTGTTTTGTTTTGTTTTAGGTTTCAGGTCAAAGGAACTGGGGAATGTGCCTACTTGAATGACAATGGCCTGAGCAGTGCCAGGATTTACTCGGACAAAAAATGGATTTGCAGCAAACCCAATGTATCCATCTGTCAAATTGCTTCAAACTCATGAGTAGAAAAGCTGCATTGTGCTTGTTATCTACTGTTGGGTAACATTGCTTTGTCCTTCAAGAAGCTTAGGTTTTATCTGGTTACACCCATTAATCTGGTTATACCCATCAATCTGGTTACACCCACCACAGTTCTCCAGAGGCACTTCCACTTCCATTGTGTTTACATGTAAACATGTAAACAGTCTTCCCTATGCTCTCCTTCCCACCCAGTTAATCAGCTTTCCCCTTAATCAGACTTTGTTAATTTGTAAGATCAGTTTCCCAGAAATCTATGATTTTATATTTATGAGTGAAATATTGCCTTTCTCCTCTCCCTATGCCTTATGAATAGTTTACCTTAAAGTAATATCCTTTTTGTATAGATACAGGAAGACCGTTAACATTATGCTTTGTAATTTAGGATTTGATTGGCCTTGAATATTATTCACTCCCGGGCATCTTTCTCGACTTAAGCCTCAGTTGCCCTTAGTTCCTAACACCCCAAAAGCAGGGTCCCGACGAGGGACTGAATGGACCCAGGGCAAGCAGTGAGCTACTGGGGGCAGAGATAGAGAGACAGATGAGGAGAGAATCAGAATAAACTACGATTAATACCTACCAGCCTGGCCCTCATTCCTTCCTCTGCCTGACCATCGCCATCGACCTCTCCGGGGTGGGAGAAGGGTGAGACTACCGAATGCGGGTGGCGGGAGAGATAGAGCCACCGCCGCTGTGGGTGCCGAGCCCCCATTTTGCGTGAGTTTACACAATCTACAGTTGCTGAATGTTTTTCTCAAAGTGTTGACCTAAAAATGTGTAATATCAGTTGACAGCAAAGATGAAAACTGAGTCAGAGAGAATTGCAGGGAGCCTTTCCCCACCAAAAAGAAACAGAGATTTGTGACAAGTTGATTCTAAATTAAATAGACCTTTAGGTACAAATTAATACTTATAACTTGAACCCAGAGAAAGAAGTCAACATCAAGAACTCCACCTCTAGATTATACATAAAACTTTCCCTGCATAGACTGTTATTTTCCTTACAAACACTGGACAGAAAATGACTATTTGAAAAACCAGACATGGTGTTTCACTAATAAAAAAAAAATTTTTAAAAAAGAAATGTGAGGCTTTTATCTTTATAAAAAATATTTTATTTTTTATAAAATTTTTTTTGGCTTTTGCTGTTCATACCATAACTAAGTATTCATTGTTGTATTCAAGGTTATATATACCTGTTTTTTCTACTAAGAGTATTTTTTTATACCTTAACTTAATTTTTTAATTGGGTCGCCATGAGATACAAAGTTACAAAGTTGTTCATGATTAGGTTTTAGTCATACAATGTTCCAATAGATGTCTCTTTACCAGTGTACATTTCCCATCACCTACTAACCAGTTTCCCTCCTGCCTTCACCCCTCACCCCACATGCTCCTATGGTAGGCACTTCTCTCTCTCTGCCTCTCTTTTTTCTCCTCTCTCTTCTCTTTCTTCTCTCCTCTCTCTTCTCTCTCTCTCTCTCTCTCTTTTTGGATATTTTGAGTATTATGGTTTGCAATACAGATACTGAAAGGTTATCATGTATTTATCCCTTTTCATACTTTCAGCACTCAGTTCTTGTCCAGAGTGATCTTTTCCAACTATTAATATCATAGTAGTCCCTTTTTTATTCTAATTTACCTCCCCGCATACTTGTGGCATGCTTCCAAACGTGACCAGTCCTCCTGGCCCCTGTTTTGTTCTATCCTTAGATATTAGTCTCATACTACTTTCCTCTATTCTAAGAAATGCAAAGTTTAAGAAGAGCACTCCCAGAACGAACACCAACTGGGAGCTCTTTGGCTCTGTTGCGGCAATATGGGAAGATGCCGTCATTGACAACATTGATGAAGAATACAATCGACTGGTTCAGCACCTCCCTGATTGTGCGAGGAACACCAAGAGAGAGATAACCACAAAAAGTGCTTGTCTTCAAAAACTCTTGAGCTTATTCACCAACGTGGTTTGGTGCATGCCTCAGGCAACCGCAAGCGAACAGCAGAGCTCACAAAGCCGTGCAGAGAAGCAATCAAGGAAGACCTCAAAGACAGAAGAGCAGCCGTGCTGGTAGATGAGGCAGAAGCCAGGAATAGCATTTGTAATGCCTGCCTGTCCTTCACCAACTACAAGACCAAGATGACTACCCATCCGAAGTCCTGATGAATCTCTCACATCTTCCAGAAGGGCAGTGGAGAACATTATTTATGACTTCTACTCAGATCTCTTTAATAGCCACGTCCACTTGCCCACATACAAATTCCACAGGATGGATATGTCGTTCCCAACATTCTCCCTTCCGAAATCCGACACACCATCTCGTCAGTAAAGAAACAAAGAGCACCTGGCCCAGACAAGGTCAGACCTGAACACCTGAAGAACCTGCTGTCAGTACTCATCAATATGTTGGCTCGGCTCTTCACACGCTATCTGTCTGAATGCAAGGTTCCATCCCAATGAAAAACTAGCAGGACTGTACTGCTGTACAAGAAGGGATATATCCACGACATTGGCAACAATCGCCTGATTTGCCTGTTGTCTGTCATCGACAAGCTGTTCACTCGAATCATCCTGAATAAGTTTGGCAAAACTCTAGATGAAGAACAACCATGTAAGCAAGCCGGGTTCCGCAAAGGATTCAGCACCATCGACCATATCCACATGATAACCAAGCTCATTGAGGTTTCTCGGGAGTTCAAGATGCTGCTCTGTCTAACGTTCATTGATTTAAAGAAGGCCTTTGATTCTGTTGAGACAGAAGCAATCATCGAAGCCCTAGCTAATCAGGGCGTTCAAACTCAATACATCAGGATCCATTGTGAGCTGTATTATGGATTCACTACAAGGATTGAATACACCATGGGAAGTTTGCCAGGCTCTGCTGTGCTGACAAATACTCTCCGCAGCTTTCTGGGCTCTCCAAGATGTGCAGAAGGAATCAAACAAGGGTCGACCACATGAAAGGCAAACGCACTACCCGCTGTGCTATCACTCTAGCCCAAATAATTGTACATTGATATTATATTATCTTCTACAATAAGATGCCCAGTATTTTTACTTTATTTTGGTGGGGGCTGAGCCACACCCAGTGGTGCTCAAGGCTCTGTGTCCAGTGGTTACTCCCAGTGAGGTGCAGGGAATCATATGTGGTTACTGGTTTTGCCCAATGGCATCTGCTCATTCTAGGAACACGAAGAGCCTCAAACTGATCGTTCAAGGTTTTGACAAAGAAGTCTGACCATCTCGTAGGTGGGAGACCACGTGATCTTTTGATGTTCCGTGGAATCCAGTTGTTAATGGCTCTAGTCCACCAGTCGTCTCTAAATTTTGGCTGCTGGGAGTATCTGTCACCACCTGCAGAGCCTGGCAAGCTCCCCATGGTGTGTTCAATATGCCAAAAACAGTAACAACAAGTCTCACAATGGAGAAGTTATTGGTGCCAGCTCGAGCAAATCAATAAACAATGGGAGGACAGTGCTACAGTGTTAGAAGAGAAGGGGAGAGTCAATTGAAACCTACTTGGGTGATCTTGTTGAAACCTATGTGAGAAATGGTGAACGCTTAGACCTGATGAGCGCAGTGTGGGTGTTGCAGGGTGGTTGTGCTCTGGATACACTGAATGTTGGAGCCACCATATTTTATAACAGCTTGCATATGAATATTTGCAAAAAGAGACTCCTGTGTAACTCTAAGAATTTTCTGCTGAGCTATGGCAAGGAATGAGTTATCATTCTTGATAAGAGAAAGCCTTATCAAGTGTTTTATCTTTGGGTCTGTTTCTTGCGGAGAAAACATCCAAAAGTACAGAACTATATGCTTTAACAAAAATTTCTTTGTATGTACAATTGATCAGGAATAAATGACTTACCAGAATTAATAAATAATTAATTCATCTTTTCTGACTTTATTAAATGCAATAAAGTCTTTTTCCAATAACTCCTAATGTGACCCAGACATTTTTTTTATTTTTTAATTTTGGCTGGGGTGAGGAGCAAGGGAAGGGAGATGCATGCTGGGAATTCAAGTGAGGGTCTCATAGAGATAAAGCATGCACTGAGCCCATCTTGAAACATTTCTGAAATCTAATTAACAACTAACAACTTTTACTGGAGATTAAATTGTTGCAAATTATGTAGTTCCTAAAATATTGTAAATTTCATTTTAAAACGGTATTGTGTGGTGGGATCACTACCGTCACTATCATCACTATCATCTCATTGTTCATTGGTGGCTCAAGCAGGCACCTGTAACGTCTTCGTTTGTTCCCGCCTCATGCCAGTGCAGCCCAATGGTGTCTGCTAGCTCCAGGAACACGAAGACCATGTGATTGTTACTGGGGCTGGAGTGATGAATTAAGATGAGTGATGATGAGTGATAGAACAGCAGGTAGGGTGTTTATCTTGCATGTGGCCTCCCGGGTTCGATTCTTCCATCCCCCTTGGAGAGCCTGGCAAGCTACCGAGAGTATCCTGCCCGCATGGTAGAGTCTAGCAAGTTCCTCGTGGCATATTCGATATGCCAAAAACAGTAACAAGTCTCACAATGGAGACGTTTCTGGTGCCTGCTCCAGCAAGTCAATGAACAATGGGAGGACAGTGCTACAGTGCTACTGCATTTTGAATATCTAACACATCACAATTAGCTTTCCAGGTTCTCTGAGAGGGATGGAGGTTTTTCTACTCGTCTTTACAGCTGTTCCAAGTCTACCAAAAGCAGGCTTTTTGGTCAGCTAGCATCTGAATGCTGACAAACATGCACTGCTTGCATATTTGGGCAGCACTTGGGACATCTGCAGCCTCAATTGATATCCTTGAGATTGATAAAATGTGCCCAAGGAAATCAGTGGGCTCATGTTGATCTCCTTGAGATTGATGGAATATGCCAGAGCACGAAGGGTTCAGGCGGTGTCAGCTCCAACTTGGATCATTTGTGTGGTGGAATATGGAGGTTGTTGAACAGCTGGCAGAGCAGAACCCCGTCGTG